GATTACAGGCATGAGCCACCAGTGCCCTGCCCTCTTGGGAAACTTTGTGCTGTTGATCTTAAGAATAGTTTTAAAGCAACAGAAGCTTCCCAGAAAGCTCCTTTTGCAGAAAAATGGGAATTACCAACAGAAAATTTCAGCTTTATTGGGCGTAGAGATATGACATGTATATTATTTCTTGTAGGCGAGGAGTCTTTTGACCCGCAGCACACTCATGACCGAATGCGCTGGATTAAGATCGAAGATCCCTTTGTCCCTACCCTTAAGTTTTGTGCCACACTGTCAGAAGAGTACTAAATTCATTGGGCTTGAATATTTGGAACTATTTTTTAATCAACTATACTTCTATGTGAAATCAGGGAGATGATTCTGTTATCCAAACAAGTCATTGACTGGTTGGCCATGAATGCTCAGAATGTCATTGTGATTCACTGTAAAGGAGGCAAAGGTAATAATGCTTTTCTTTCTGTTCCCTTTTTCCAAAGCTGATCAAAACTAAATATCAAAGGACTAGCAGAGGATTCATGCTGCTATTCAGCAGTACTAATGTTGCTAACATTTTAAATATTGGTTTTAAGGCTTAAGGAAGGAAGGAGAAAAAGGAAATAGAGAAGGGAAAGGATGAAGAAAGGCAAAGAATCATGAAGGAACGAGCTAAAGAAGGTTGAGCGTATCTTTCTCCAATTACTGATGATTTAGGTTTCTTCATTTTTGATTTTCCAGTTTATGTGTCAAAATGTAAAGGGTATTTAACTGCAGAATGTTAGAGCACTTTTCTTTTATTTCAGGATCTTTTTTCCTTTTTAACTGATAAAAATGTACATATTTATATAATATACAACATGATAGTTTTATATTGGTATACATTGGTGGAATAGCTAAATCAAATTACTTAAAAAGTACATTACCTTACCAACTTGTACTTTCTCGTTGTGCTTTTAACTTGCTCTTCCCTAATGACTAGTGACATTGAGCTTTGTTTCATGGCCATTGTTTATTGTCCACTTGCACATTGTCTTTTGAGAAATGTCTTTCCAAGTCCTTTGTCCCACCCTTAACCCTTTTTGATCCTTGGGGGTTTTGAGGTGAATTTTGTTTGTTTTGTTGGCATTACTATAGTTTGAGCCCAGAGCCTCACACTTCCTAGTGCCCTCTACCACTTGAGCCACACATACTACTTTTCCTCTTTTTGCTTTAGTTATTATACACATAGGGACTCACTTTTCTGGTTACCTATATAGGCAGGCCTATACTGTGATCTTCCTACTTTATATTTTTCCACATACATGGGATAATGAACACACACTGCGGTGCTCAACATTTTACTTGAGATGAAGTCTTGCACATTCTTCCTCATTGCTAGTTTGCTAGTTCCTGAACAGCTAGGATTACAGTGTGAGACACCATGCTTGGCTTTCTGATTTGTTTTGTTTTTGGAGATAGTCTTCCTAGGTAGCCCAGGCTAGTCTCAAACTTGTGATCCTCCTGCCTCAGCTTCCCGGGTGCTGCAATTATAGACATGGCAACCCCACATATCTCTTTGCCCATTTTTAGAAAAGGTGAATTTATTTTCTTGCTATTGTGTTAAGTTTCTTAAATCTTTTTGGATATTCTGTAGGTCATGTTTTTACTCCGTTGATTATAAACTTCCTTATGCAGGAGCATTTTGCTTTTATCCCATGTGTTTATTTTTTGCTTTTATTGCCTCTCCTTTTCAATGTATGTGCAAAAACAAATTGACTCAGACCAGTATTACAAAGTACAGTTTCACAGTATTTTCTTCTAGTAGCTTTGGAGTTGCAGGTCTAATGTTTAAGTCTCTAATCATTTGGAGTTGTTGTGTATTTGGTGATTAAGATATGGTCCAATTTCATATTTGTGCTCATGTATTTTCACTTGTTCCAGTATCATTTATTTCTCATTATGTGGTTTTGGCACCTTTCTCCAAGATCAGTTAATCCAAGATTTATGAATTTATTTCCTGGCTGTCATTGGTCTACATTTCTTTTTGTTCCAGTAGAATTTAAGAGTATTCTTAAACTTTGTGATAAACTTTTAAGGACGGAACCCAGCAGAGATTTTTTTTTATTTTATTTTATTTTTTTTCAGGTAAGGGGTAGGTTTATTCAGTAGACCTGCTGGGACCAGGCAAGGTTGGCACTCCATGCCGCTGGGAAAGGCCTAGGAAAGAGAGAGCGCTGGGAAAGAGAGGAAAGAGAGAGAAAAGAGCTTGGAGATTTTTTTTTTAATTACACTGGAATCTTTAGAGCATGAAGAAATGAAGTTGTTTTGGCAAGGAGTAAATAATTGTATTCTGCTTATTATTTGTTAATTGGTAGTATTTTGAATTAAGCCAATTTAAGTGTCTATAGATTTTCTTTCCTTTAGCTTTGGGCTTGGAATGATTGTCTCCTGCATATTTTACAACTTTTGATAAAAATAAACAATTACATTTTGGTGGGCTATAAACCAGACTTTCTCATTGGATTTTAAATGTAACAGTAAAAATGGTCATATACTTCAGTAGAGTCAAGTTATTGCCCATTAGTTAACAAGCAGGTTTGGTTTCATAGGTAGAAATATTTTGAATCTGGCAATTTACAAGCCCATGGCAAATGAAAGTATTGCTATGGCTTCGATCTTTTTTTGTTTTTTGTCAGCCATGGGGCTTGAACTCAGGGCTTGGGCACTATCCCTCAGCTCTTCAGCTCAAGGTGAGCACTCTACCGCTTGAGCCACAGCACCACTTCCAGTTTTCTAGTGCTTTATTGGGAGATAAGAGTCTCACAGACTTTCCTGCCCAGGCTGGTTTTGAACCACGATCCTCAGATCTCAGCCTCCTGAGTAGCTAGGATTACAGGTGTGAGCCACCGCTGGCTTGGATCTTGAATGTCTCTAAAAGGCCTGTGCATTAAAGTTTGGCCCTCAGCCCA